CACCCAAGCAGTTGTGCAAGTCAGAAACCTGTGAGTTGCCCTTGGTTATTTCTCCACCCTCCTCTCCCCCACCAAATCCAGTCAGTCACCAGGTCCAATTGATTTTTTTAACCCTTTTTGTTTGATTTGTAATATACATACAGAAAAGTCATTGAGCTTTGCATCTCTTTTTGATGTAATTACTACAAAGCGTAAGCCTTGTAACCAACATTCAGGTCACCAGATAGGTGATTGTCAGGGCTCCAGAAAACCCTCCTTAAACTCCCTTGTCCTTTTCAAGAGTAACCTCTGTCTTGAATTTTATGGTAATTGCTTTCTTATTTTTTTACCTAAGGCTGCATCCAAACTTGTCAGTTTAATTTTGCCACTTTTTCAGCTTTATATAAATGGAACCATATAGTTGGTATATTTTACTGTGGCTGCTTTCACTCAACATTATTTTGTGAAATTTTTTCCTGTTTTATGGAAGTGTAGTTTGTCATTCCTTAATAGTAGTCTGTTATATGAATATATCACAATTGAATTATTTACTTTTTTGGGATGAACATTTAAATTGTTTTCACTTTACAGCAATTATGAATAATGCTGCTCTGAACATTTTTGTTTATCTTCAACTTTTGTTGCTAATACCAGACTGTTTTCCAAAATGGTTGCACTAGTTTAGGTTCCTGCCAACAATGTATAAGAATTCCTTTTTTCTGCCTCTTTGCCGAGCCTTAGAATTGTCAGTCTGTTGAATTTTATTGACCATTCTGATCTATATTTAATGGATTTTAATGTGTAATTGAGGTATATTTTCATTTCATAAAATGTGTAGGTGGTAGTGTCAACAATAAAAAAGTCCATTTTGTCTGATACTAAAAAAATAAGTGTATAGATTGAAGACTTTATTTACATATACATGTACCCACCCCTTTTCTAAAAACATAGAGCATTACCATCACTCCAGAAAGTTCTCTCATGCTCCTTTCCAGTCAGAAGCTGTTACTCTGACATCCTATTTTGACTTCTACCACTATAAATTTGTTTTGCCTGTTCTTGAACTTCATATAAATGGGCTCATCACAGCATGTGCTTTTTTGTGTCTGGCTTCTTTGCCTAGCCTAATGGTTTTGTTTATTTGTGTGTTTGTTTTTGCAGTTGATCTAAGTTGGTTTTATCAGTTATTCTTTTTTTTTTATTGCTTACATTGTATGATTATCATTTTCTTATTGATTATTTCTAGGTTTTGGCTTATGTGAATTAAGCTGCTGTAAAGAGTTTCATGGAAAAAAAAATACATATATACAGTAATTTCTCCTTGGTGTATATTGAGTGGATTTTGGGGCCGTAGTGTAGGTGTTTACTTTTATTAGAAACTACTGAAAAATTTCCCAGAATGGATGGTTGTATTATTTAACACTCCTGTTTGGTTTTAATTTGCGTTTCCTAGTTTACTAGTGAGGTTGAGCAGCCTTTCTTATATTTACTAGCCTTTGGATATCTTCTCTCTGAAAGGTTTATTAAGGTCTCATTAAAGCCTTTTGCCCATTTTTCATGCTGGTGTTCTGTCTTTGTCTTACTCATTTGCATTACAGACATCCTCTTCCACTGTGGCTTGCCTTCCTTGCCATTTATTTTCTTAAAGGTGTCTTTTGTTTAACAGAAATTCTTAATTTCAGTGAAGGTAAATATGTCAATCTTTTTCTTTATACTTGGAACATTTTGTATCCTGGTGATGAGGATATACTTTATGGGGAATTTTTAATGCTGTGAGACGGGGGTAAAGTTGTTTTCCTATATGACTATTTAATTATTGTGGGACCACCACTTATTGAAAAGACCATTCTCCCCTTCTCTGTAGAGTCACTGTAGTGATATATCAGCTGATTGTATTTACACAGGGATTTATCTGAGTTTTCCTATTTTATTCTTCTATTTGTCTATGTGCCAGTGTACCACTATCTGTGTACTTTATTTCAGTAGTTATCCTGGGACCGTGTCAGGTCCCTGAGACTCTTTTAGTGGGTCTTCAAAGTCAAACTATTTTCAAAGTAATAATACGATATTATTTACCTTATTCCCTCTCATTCTCTCATGAGTGTGCAATAGGTTTTCCAGAGGCTGCATGATATGTAATACTGAAACAGATTGAATACAAAAGCAAACATGAGAATCCAGATGTCTTCTGTTAAGCCAGATATTAAAGAGATTTACAAAACTGTAAAACAGGGCCACTCCTCTAAATATTTTTGGGTTTGAAAAAGTTATTTTTCATAATGTTATTTCTGTTAGCATGTAACGGGTTTTTTGTTTTTTTAAATGAATAAATTTTCAAAATTTTGTGTTTTAATTAGGAATGTGATACAGTAGATAAACTCAGATAAACTAAACCATTTAGAGGCTCAGTAATTTGTAGGACATTGAGAATTACTCAAAAACAAAAGTTTGAGAATTACTACCCTAGTTTTATAAATCTTTTTTTAAAAATATTTATTTTTAGAGAGAAGGGAGTGAGAAAGAGAGGGAGAGAAACATCAATGGGTGGTTAGGGCTCCTCTGCCCCCTGCTGGGGACCTGGCCTGCAACCCAGGCATGTGCCCTACGCTGGGAATCGAACCAGCGACCCTTGGCTTCGCAGGCTGGCGCTCAACCCACTGAGCCACACCAGCCAGGGCTATAAATCTTGATATACATTAAATAATAAATCTTGGTTACCTTTGACCCCTAGTATTTGCATATACATTTTAGAATTGGCTTGTGAGGTTCCACAAGAATACCTATTAGGATTTTGATCAGAATTGCATTGAAAAAGTTTAGGGATAATTGAAATCTTTATGCCAGTGAGTCTTCCAGTTTATGAGCATTATCTCTTCATGTGTTTTGGTCTTATTTAGTTTTTTTCTCAATACTCTTTTATAAATTTATGAATAGGATTTTGTATATCTCAACAGAATTTTTTGAAGAAGGTCTACGTAGAAATAAATTTAATAAGAAAATGAAGGATATCTTTGAAACTTTGCCAGTGGGCATAAAAGAATTGAATGAATACTGAAACATAATTTGTTCTTGGATAAGGGAGCTCCCATTGGAAAGATAGCAGTGTCCCCATTAAACTGCCATATTTCATATTGTTAGATATACTTTTGCATTTTGTGATTTCTAAAATTCAGATATGCCTTAAAATTTATGGCATCTTCTAATCACTTCTGGCCATGTGGTGGTGGTGAAGTTTTTTGTTTTGTTTTGTTTTTTAATATTTTATTTATTTATTTTTAGAGAGGAGAAGGGAGGGAGGGAGAGAAATATCAGTGCATTGTTGCCTCTCTAGCACCCCCTACTGGCTACCCGGCCTGTAACCCAGGCATGTGCCCTGACTGGGAATTAAGCTGGTGACCCTTTGGTTCACAGGCTGGCACTATTTTCCTTTATAGCCACAACTCATATGTGATACAAAGACAAAACAATTTAAATCTAAAAGAACAGAGCTCCTTCAATAGGCAAAAATAAAAATCCTCAGTCATAAGGCAGCATATGTCATAGTATGGCAATGTCTTTTTTTAGTGCTACATAAAATAATTATATATCTTACATTAAAGGTATCTTGGAGTTGATAAAATGTAATCTGTACATTCAGTGTAATCCCAATTAATACCTCAAGAGGCTTTTATTTTATTATTATTATTTTTTAATCCTCATCCTAGGTCATGCTTACTGATTTTAGAGAGAGGGAAAGGAAGGAAGAGAGAGGGAGAGAAACAACGATTGGTTGCCTTTGCCTTTCATACGAGCCCCAAACGGGGACCAGACTCACAGTCTAGGCATGTGCCTTGATCCGTGATCTTTTGGTTTGCAGGACAATGCCCAGCGCACTGAGCCACATTGGCCAGGGCTCAAAAGGTTTTTAAAAACTTGATTCTAACATTTATATGAAAGAACAAAAGTGGAATTTTTCATAAAAGCTATGAAAATCAATATTAATATGGGGGAGATTAGTGTTATCGAAGTCTGCACTGAAGACAAAGTAGTTAAGAGCACCAGAGTAGACAGGTTATCACTGGACCAGAGTTGAGAATATTGAAGTAGCCTCATTTATAGAAATGTTGTATGTGATAAAGATGAAAATAATTTTTCAATAAATAGTATTGGGTCAACTGAATAGCCGTTATGGAAAAAAGAGAGCTAACTTGTTTTCTCACTTTTAAAAAAAACAAACCCTTTTACTGAGATATAGTTCCCAGGTAGGAAAGTACACATAGTTTAAGAATCCAACTTCAGTAAATTATGTACATATCCACAAAGTCCACCACATAGATCAAGATATAGACTATTTCCAGCACCCTCAAATTCTCTCTATGCTCTTCCCACTCAGTACCTTCTCTTCCAGCAATAACCGCTCTTCTGACCTCCATCCATAGAGCTTTACCTGTTTTTGATCTTCAAATAAATTGAATCATATAGTAAGTATTTTGTGTCTAGTTTCTTGTGCTTAACATGTCTGTGAAATTTATTTAGGTAGCAAGTAGCAGTTGTCACGATTTCTTCTGTTGATGGAAATTTTAGTAGTTTTACATTTTTTTGTGGTTAAGATGAATAAAACTGCTAAGAACATTGTTGTACATGTTTGGTGGGCATAAGTATATATTTTTTGTCAGAATTGCATGGAACTGCTGGGTCATAGAATATTCGTATGTTTAATTTTAGCATACTCGTATATTCCCAGTTGTACCAGCTTATACTCCTACCAGAAACACAAGAGAGTTTCAGTTGCTTTAGGTTTTACCAAACCCCAAAAACCATAAGGAAAAAAGTTCATGAGTTTGCATACAGACAAAACCTACACATGGCACATCTAGCCTAAACAAAGTTGTAACTATAAAGATAAACTGAGGAAAAAATCTGCCTCTTGTTCAAGGAATAATTTCCTTTAAAAAAAACAAACTGGAGTCTTTTTAAATCAATACAGAAATGACAATTCAGTAGACAGGTGGGCACGAGACATTAAAAAATAGTTGAAAATTACAAAGGGCTTCTGTTGTGAGTGACACACGTAGGGCAGCTTGATTGCTCTACGTGCAGAATTGACATCAGGATATTTCGGAAACACAGTTTTTTGGTACTTGGGCAGCTAGCGATTGTTGGCCCTGGAGCCTACCAAAAAGAAAGGTAGTTGAAAATAAAGACAAATGGTTTACTAGGAAATGATCCTCAGTTTCAGTCACAGGGGAAAAGCAAATTGAAGCTATATTGGAAGCATGTTTAATGTATCAGATCGGCAAAGATCAAACAGTTTAATTAACTTGGCTAAGATGTAAAGAAACAGCTACTTACATGTAGAAATGTAGGATTCTAAACTATGGAGATCAACTTGATAAAATATCCGTTATAATTATAAATGCACATATCTCGAGTAGTATGAATAAATATGTTGTGATTTATTTACAAAATGTAATATTAAATAGAGAACAAGAATGAATTAACTACATTTCACATACAGTATAAATGATTCTTATACATAATGTTGAGTGAAAGAGCCAGACACAAAAAATGTAAGTTCAGAAACAGGTAAAATGAATCATTTTAGAAGTCAGGGTAGTATTACTGTTGTGGAAGTTGACTGAAAATGAATGCAAGAGAGGCTTTGGGGGGCTTGTAATGTTCTATAACTTGATTTGGGCGCTGGTTACATGGTTGTGTTTACACTGAGAAAATTTACCAAGCTATAAATTTAGTTTTTGTGTATTTTTCTGAATATACGCTATACTTCAGTAACTTCAGTTTTTAAGTAAAAATAGTGTGTATGCACACAATCATAAAGAATGCACATACTGTTTGTTTTAATTCCCTGTTGTGCTTGTAAACACACACATACGTGTATATATACACACACGCTTATATATGTGGAGGTTAAATAGTATGAAGATATTCATTGCTGTTTGTAATAGCAAATTTTTGGAAACAATCTAATTACCTACTAGTGGGGAACTGGTGAAATAACTAATGGTATAGTCATCTGGTGAATTAGTAGCAGCTCTTAAAAGGAGAAAGACAGTCCTGTGTGAATTAATTTAGAAATGTCTCTAAGATAAGTGAAAAGACCAAAGTGCGTGAACAATATATTAGTGTGCTACTATTTCTGTATGGATATTTTGTAAGACACATACATATGAGCATATATAAATAGAAGAATATAGAAAAGTATATTAATTCTGCCGTTCTGAGGAAAACTGTGTAGCTGGGGACAAAATTGGAGATACTTTCTCTGTATACTATTTATGACTTCTAAATTTTTTGAGTTTTTAACTGTGGCAAAATACATATACAATTTACTGTGTGTATAGTTCAGTGCTGTATAGTCACACTGTTGTACAACCAATTTCCAGAACTTTTTCATGTCCACTGAACAACTCATTTCCTCTTCCCTGTGACCCTTGACAACCACCATTCTACTTTTCTGTTTCTGAATTAGACTGGTCTAGATAACTCATAAAAGTAGAACCACACAGTATTTGTCTTTTTGTGACTAGCTTATTCTACTCAGCATAATGTCCTCAAGGTTCATCCATACTACTTTGTGACCATTGAATTGTGTACCATGTTTATATATTTAAAAAAAAAAATTAAAACATTTACTTTTTAGGGAAAGGGGAAGGGAGAGAGAAAGAGAAGAAGATAAATATCGATTGCCTCTCATATGCCCCGACTGGGGACTGAACCCACAATCCAGGCATGTTCCCTGCCTAGGAATTGAAACAGGTAGGGACCTTTTGCTTTGTGGGACAGTGCCCAACCCCCTGAGCCACACTGGTCAGGGCTATTTATTAACTGTTTTTAGAAGAGCATTACAATAAAAAGGTTATGATCTTACCATTCAGAGCTGGTTAAATTAATTATATGGTAAAAAGTTGATAGTCTATGTTATTCAGCTCAACCAACATTAATTTAATGCCAGTTTGGGCAGCAAAATAACTTATAACAAAGTGCCATTTGAAACCCATTTCATTGCATGTTTCTTCTTTTTCATCTGTGGGTGCCAACCAAATGCGGGTTCATCAGATCCCCAGCTTCTTGACCCTCTGTCTGCTCAGTAGTTTTCCCCCTGGGTTCATTGTCTAACTTTGACACCCTCTTTAAAATCTACCTCTTTACCCCAGGCACAATCTTTCTGTGCCAAGTGCATTGCTTCCTTTTTGCAGATTTCTCCTCGAGATCATCATTATGGAGCCTTGTGCAGTGATATCGTTTCCCATGAACTGAAACTCATTGATTCCATTAAGATTGTTGACTGGATGTGGGGACAGAGGAATGAGTTGAAAGGCTCTGAAGTTTATGGAAGGACTTTGTGCCATTGACTAGAACAGAGGGAGGCAGACAGGCTCTAGGTGGAAGATATGTGACTGGTTTTTGAAAATACTGATTTGAGATGCTGGCCTGTAAAACAGCTGTAGCTGTGAGCTAGAAGTGTGGGTTTAGGACACTTCTCATTATAAATTCAGTGTGTTTCTGTGTATGTGTACAGGCCAGATACTTCAGTTGGTTAGAACATTGTCCTGACATGCCAAGGTTGTGGGTTTGATCCTGGTCAGGGCACATACAAGACACAACGAATGCAACAGATCATTGTTTCTCTTCCCCCTCCCCCATCTTTACACTCTCTCTCTTTAAAATTAATTTTAAAAAAATACAGAAATGTATAAAGAAAAAATGACTTATAAAACAGATAATCATTCTTAACATTTTAATTGAATTACCTTCTGGGTTTTCTTTTCTGGTTACATATATATAAAACTAAATATGTAAAGTCACATTTTAAAATGTAGTGGAGGTTTTACACTTTGTAATCCACTTTTTCTTTGTGTTCTAGTCGTGAATGAAGAAGTCCAAGGCCAGTTATGTATTGTGCTTCTGTTAAGAGTCAGCAACAGGCCCGGCAGGTGTAGCTCAGTGGATTGAGTGCCGGCCTGTGAACCAAAGGGCTGCCAGCTCAGTTCTCAGTTGGGGCACATGCCTGGGTTGCAGGCCAGGTCCCCAGTATGGGGTGTGCGAGAGGCAACCACACGTTGATGTTTCTCTCCCCTTCTTTCTCTCTCCCTTGACTTCTCTCTAAAAATAAATAAGTGAAATCTTTAAAAAAAAAGCAGCAAAAGAGCTCATAAGTAAAATTCTGGGGCTTGTTGAAATGACATACAGTGAGATCCTGCACAGATGGAGAAGAACATGTGGCAAGGACAGAACTTTGGAAACCTGCCTATATTTGAGGATTCAAGAATAAGAAATCATAATTAGAGAAGTAGGAGAATTAAAATAGTGCCAAACTAAAGGGAACAAATTCCAAGAAAAAAGAAGTAGTTAGTATTATTACATATTTTAAAAAGGTAAAGCTGGGTGAAGGCTAAGACAAGGACTTTAGATAGGAAATTGTGAAATCACTGGTTGATTTACAAAATCTATCTGTCCAACAATGATGGAATAAGAAGGACTGAATTTACCTGGCTACTTAAAACAACTAGGAAACTAGAATATATATAAATTAACAGTTTGCAGACATTGAATAACAGGCAAAGTAAGACTCTGGTCACTGAAATAAGAGGAACCCACTGAGTTTTATGGTTGCCCCAGTTTATTGTCTGGAGGTAGTTTGCAGGGTGCAGAGCAGGGATGGGAAATGCAAATAGAGCCTAGTAGTCTCATTGAGTTGAGTGGAAGTTGGAGGGGCCAAGGCAGCTATAATTTATGGACAGAGTACTTGAGAGGTGGAAGTTGCATAGAGAACTCCAGAAATATGCAGAGGTGTCCCCTTGAGTTTGACTGAGTACTGATCTGCACGCATATGAGGGGAAACCACCTGAGGCCAAAGAACCAACAACTCCACTTGGGAACAGTAGGCTGGAACTCACAAAGGGCTGGGCGTAGTCTTTATCACTAGCCCTCAGCATACACAGGGCACCAAAAATGTATTGTCTTGGTGATAGGACTAAATCAATCATAAATTAAAGGTTGCTCTGTGCTTGCCTTAACAAAGTATGAAAGCAAACCTTGGGGGAATCCAGCCGACTTTAAGAAATTTTAATTGCCAGAACAAAGCCAAGTACTGTTTGAAGGAATACAGTGGTACCTCGATACTGGTTGTTCATTTGTTCTGGAACTTTAGAATTGTCGAAACCAAGGAATACCAAACGATGAAGCATTTTCTTTTGCGTGGCAATGTAGTAATTCATACAAGTTCTAGCAAGCTCAACAGGCACCAAGCAAGTGCTGAATGCTGAAACATTTTTTTCGTCAAAATGGGATGAGTACAGGGTTTGACGAGTTCTGGAGCTGATGGGTACTGAGGTATGACTTTACTTCAAAATCCAGCACCCAAAACATAACCTAGCATGCACTCAAAAATTACCAGGTATGTTAAAAAAACAGGGGAGTATGACCTATAATCAAAAAATTCAGTCGACAGAAATAGATTCAGAAATGAGAGATGATGGAATTAATGAACAAGGACATTAAAGCAGCTATTATTAAATATGCTTTATATGTTCAGGCAGGTAGAGGAAATAGTTAAAGTATTGGAAGAAAAATGGAAGATATAAAAAAGACCTAGATAGAACTTACAGAGATGGAAATGGAATGAAAAAATACACTGGGACTAATAGGTGAGGAACAGCAGATCAATGAACTTGAAGATATAACAGTAGAAACTGTCTAAAATCAGACAGAGAGGAAAATGTGGGTGACTGTAACAGAAACTAGTCAGTCACAAAAACAGGCTGACATATATTGGAGCCCCAGAAAAGAGGGAGAGGGGAGGACAAAGATGATTTTTAAATATTCTGACCAGAAAATTTCCTAATTTCATGAAAACTACAAACCCACAAATCAAGGAAGCTCAGTAAATCCCAAGGACAATAAATATAAAGAACACCACACCAAGGCACATCATAATCAAATTGCTGATAGCCACTGATAAAGAGAAAATTGGAAAGCAGGCATAGAAAAAAAAAGACACATTGTGTACATACTAACATAAGAATGTAGCAGATTTTTCATCAGAAATTGAACAAATCAAAAGACAGTTGTTAAAAAATTTTTCTTTAATTTTTCAATTACGTTAGATATACAACATCTGTATTGGGTATACAACATTGTGATTCAACATTTATA